CCTTTCTCAGTATGTCAAATCTGCTCTGATTCTCTGAGCTGCTCCTTAGACTCTGCTGTGGGTGTGTTTGCTTCCCCACACCAGTCCATTTCCACTTCAAGGAACCTGCAGATGTCTAGGGCTGAGTTGGTGTTTGATTCCCCACACTGACTCACAGTCATTCTGTTGAATTCCCTGATGCTTTTCCTGGTTCCTCACTTCCTGCCTAATACTTCTCTGCATCTGCAGCTCTTCTGTTGGCTCTAGAGACAACATCTCCAGTGCCTGAGATGTAGCTTTGCTTCTCCCTCTAATATTTCTTGGTCAAAGACTTTCCTTGCACAGTAATTTACCTCCGACACTGTGAGCAGTGTGGCCTCTCCAGGCTGCTGAGCTGAGCTGCCTTTTGCCATCTTTGCCCTTGAAATCTTGTTACTGTTTGACACGTGGAATTCCAGGGTGGCCTGCTCCTTTTCCTGAGATCTCTGTAGGAAACTGTGTTGGAAGTGTTGCACAGCATCACAAGACAGTAAGCAGTCAGTCAGGCCACTTACTGATTTTCTGCGTTATACCAGAGTTTGTATTGCTTACAGGGTTTTTGTTATTGTTCTTTGGTCCTTCACTGAAAGGGGTAGATGTAGCACTTCTTCACATCAGTTTCCATATTTCCATCACTGCATCCTGGTCAATGTTGATATTCAGAAATTACATTTGCATTTTGACTTTAAATCTGGTGCTTAGGTGATCTTAAGTTCTAGAGGACTTCTTCCAAATCTTCCCATTTGTTTTCTTTCCAAAAGAAAGGTTGTGTTTCTATGCTGGATTTGTGATTCTTTTTTTCCCCTGAAGTTTCCAGGTAGGGGTGTTTGAATTTCTACCACAGCAGTAATCTTGATTTCACCAGTACATTTTTAATGTTTTGGATTTTATTGTTCTTTCCTCATACTCTGTCTTGTTCTTCCCCTCTGTTTTTTCCAGTATTTTATCAGCCAGAGTTATTGGGATCTTCCATTCAGCATTGCTCATTTTCCTGGTAAAGTGCCTCCTGTGATAGCTATTGAAATCTGATTTATCTGCAGGTGTCCAGTCAGAACTGTGAAAATTTAAAATTCTCTATTTCTGAAGCTATTGCTTTTTTTCAAATTTAGCTTGTATTTCAACATGCTTCAGGTCTGCTCCTTTGAGTTCAAGCTGAGTTTACTGTGCCCCCTTCAGTCCTCAAACTAGATTCAGTTTACAGTAATTTTTCTTAGGTTAGGAGTGATGTTTGGAGGTTTTTTCTGTTTTGTTGTTGTTTTTTTTTCTTAATTTGCTCATTCTTACTTGATTTATTCTTTCATCTTACACAGTTTATCTGAATTTTATGTTGGTGCAGATTCAGATTTAAATTTTCCTGTTGGATTAAATTTATTAAATTTGCTTATGCTCCTCTGACAGAATGGGATACTTTAAAATAATTAGTTGTGAGTGAAGTTCAGTGACTTCTCTGCTGTTTTGATACTTGATTATGCTTTTCCTAAGTGTTTTTTACAAATTTACGAGTAATTGTTTATATCACACCTAGAAGGCATTTGATAACTTCATCTATATTTTTCTCACCATTTTCCCATAATTTCATAAAGTCTGGTGTGATTGATATGTAGTATAAATTTTTTTTCAGTAGTGTGAGATAAGTTGTTTGAGGTTTTGTCAAAATACCAGTTTTCTCAGTGCTGTAAGCCTTCGCATACTTGTAACTGTGGCATGTCCTGTCAGTGCTCATCTCTTTCTGTGAGCTCCAGCTTAGCAGAAGTTACAAAAAGTTGAAAAAGCTGAAAGTCTAAACCCAACCAGATTTAGGTTCAAGTTTAGCTACAGATTTTTTACAGGGTTGGTCATGAGTTGTTTGGACACCTTAACAAGTACAGCTGATAGCTTTTAAATTAACACATTTGGAGATAAGCTGATTCAATCACAATTGTAAAACTTGAAGGGTGGATGAAAGCTTTATTGTTTCTTGCTGCTTTATCTCTTGGTAATCAGGCCAGGTATCACACCAGCCCTTCCCAAGCTTTTTCTTTAAGTATTGATGGTTAGTTTTTCAGTCTTCTCTCATTTGTGTTCATCAGCTTGAAGACAGAGAAGGTAACTACTGGTTTTGCTTCTTTTCTTACTAAATGTCAGTAGAGTGACAATTCTTCCTCAGAAGCAGTCTCACTGAACATGTTTGAAAACTCCTGTGCAAATAAAAGGGTGGCTGGACAAATCTACAGAATTATGTTGGTCGGAAAAGAGAGCAGCAAAGGCAGGCATTGGGGAAAACTTAACCAATCCTATTAATTCCTTCTTAATTATTTAAGAAATATATATAATTATTAATTTATTATTTCATTAAAGAATATTAATTGTTGTAAGTCCAGAGGGAGAATTTTGTTTTCTTGATGCTACATTAGATGCCCATATAAAGCACATGGGAAGACAGAAAATAAGTCCTTAGAGGTCATTTTGACCTTGATTTATATGAATGAACATCTATTAAAAAAGTGTAGCCCTTCATGAAGTTTTAAGGGAAATGTTGTGGGTATTATTGCCAGTACTGGAGGTTTAAGACTCAGTTATTTTTGTGTGGTCTATAATATTTTCAATTTATATAGGCATTGCTGTGAAATTAAATCAAGTAGCATTGACCCTCCCTTTGAAAAGGTTAAAAGGTTTTGTCAATAGTATTGCCCATGGAGTTCAGGCTGTTGCTCTAGGTCGAGTTTTGACAGACAAGTAATGGGATGATCTCATCCTGTAATAAAAAATGAGAGAGCTAATAATGTAAACTGCCTTGAGAAAGAGTAGAAGAGTGAGGATTCATTATCCTTAGTATGAAAAACAATACCTAGTGCTGTATGCTTCAGTTATGTGTTGTTAGGAGTTCTTGTTTTTATAGCTCAGGAAGCAACACTCCAATTTTAGGAAGAGTTTATTCATTGTCCATTAAATCAATATAAAACTGAATGCTCAGGGTGTAAATATGATTTAAATCAACCCTATTGATTGGAGCTTCCTTAAAGATCAGCTGACATCTACAATCTAAAGAGGTGCCGTGGGTGTTTCAGGTTTATGAGCAGAGCTCATTATGTGTCCATCTTACTTTGCTGGAAAGACAAGTCATCAGCGTGCTTTAAATACTGAGGGCCTTTTAAGCAGTATGTGTTTGGTTCAGCGTTGGAATGTCACAGTGCCTGTTTTGAAAAGGTCCTGCTTGTGACACATGTGACATTCCAAGTTTTCCTGGTTGTGCTGTTGGGCTCCTTCACAAACAGGCTGCTGACATCCATGAGACTCTTTGAGCGATAGCTCACAAGCCTGGCTCTGAGAGTCACCTGTATTATGTCTCAGCTCTTTTGCAGGGTATTATTTTCTAGTTACTCTTAATGCTAAAAACATGTGTGCTCTTTGTTTATACATTTTGAGATAAAGATCTCCAAGCAAAAGGTATTTTGAGGTGTGGATTCATGTGCACCTGGAAGGAGGATGAGACAGGACAGGGCTCTTGTCCCTGTGAAGAGCTGTGTGAATAACACACGTTTTGCGCTCTGGGGAAGGGAGGGCACAGCAGTCATTGGCACCCGGGCATCCTTCAGCTCGAGGCAAAGGGTGACACATGTTGCCTGTGTCACCGGAGAATGGATGTGTCACAGCTCCCTGGTGTGTGCTGAAAGCACTTCTACTCTGAGGTTTGAAATTGCTAGGAAGCACCACTGTCTGTTACTATCCCTAGCTTTTTGGTGCTTGCTGTGCAACACAGCCGTGGCTGCTGGTAGTTCTTAAGCTTTGAAGTGCTGTTATTTATTATAATTCATTGGCTTCGGTGTTTTAATAAGGTACACTAGAGGTAATATATAATCCAGATCCTCACTTTTAAATATGTAATCCAATTTAATTTGAGCAGGTAAAACACAAAAGCTCTCAATTATAATACTGCTGTGAGGGGGACTGTAGAAGGGTGATAAAGACTACTCAGTCTTTGTGGTTTTAAATGAAAATGTGGCTTTCTGTGGAAGAGGGTTACTGTTTGTTATAAGAAAATCTTTGCTAATAAAGAGTTTGTTCATGTGTACAGTGCATAAACTTGCTTTTCCTTTAAAATCACAGGTAATTGATGTTTTACAAAGACACTTGCAAGTTATTATGAAAGATAAAAGAAAGAAAAGAAAGAGAGAAATATTCCTGCTGCAAATATCTGTGCTGTGAATATCCAGTTAGTCACAGATATTGCGACCTAGGGCAGGTGTTTGAGTCACGTACTCTGAGGTGTGTGTGCTTAAAGTGTACCAGGTTGGTTCTGCAGGTCATCACCTGATTTCATTGCTGTTTGTGGGTAGTTTGTAATCAGTCTGGACTGTAAGTCATCTGAATACTGGTCTCTGAGGAGCAAGGACTGCAGTGGTGCTTGGAAGAATCTCGACTGGCTGAAGCTATTGGCTTAGATTTCAAACCAAGATGACCTGTCTTTCTGAAAAATGCCCTTTGGTGAGATACGAATGATTTGTGAAGGGGATCTGTGTTATGGAGGAGGCTTCATGTGGTCATAATCCCTTCCAGCAAAAACAACAGGTTGAAAATTGGTTGTGGTTGTAAGGATGCAAGTAGAGCACATCATACATTAATTAATGAATATAAACGACTAATCTGTACTTTCTGCAAGGGTTATAGGCTCCCCCTCCAGCTTCTGACTAAATGTGAGCCACCACTGCATGTGGTCAGGTAAGTAAAATGCAGTGTGATTTCTTCCTTCGGCACAAAGTGCATTGGGTAACTGAGCCTCTCTTCCAGTAATTCCCTCTGGTGCATTGTATGTCCTTCCAGTAACATGATGCAAGAGCAATTGTCCAGGCCCTTAGCCAACTGTGGCTTTGTATTCCCAGCTTCCAAATACTACATATCATTATTTTTCCTCTGCTAATGCCTGTGTTTTACAGAAAAGAAAGAGAATACTGGTCAATCTTCTGGACCTTCACTTTGAATTCAAGCTTGCAAAAGAGGAACCTGACTTTTTAATAAAGTTGTATCAAGCAAAGTGAAGGCATTATGCCTCCCTTTTCCCCTCCTGCCCCATGTATAGGTATGGTTGCTCTGGAAATTTGGCATGTGTGTGTGGGGGAGTGTTTGCCCCCTCATGGTTACTCATGCTTGAGTGCCTTTAGGATTGGGGCTCCCATCAATTAGCCAGATGCTAATCCTACAAATTACACCGTGTGCTTTAAATAAAACTTGTCTCATGAAAGCCTCTTGCTTCAACAAGGGCTTGTAGATCTAGTATTCTTACATTGGAAATTTCTCCCCTTAGTTCATTATGCAGTCAGAAACCTGATGAAATAATGGGAAAAAATTTGCAGTCAGTATAGTCATGTGATTTGATGCCTGGGTAATTCACTGGCTCTTGCCCAAGGGCCAGTCTGATATAAGGAATATGATTCTTGGTTGCCTGTTCTGTTTCTATAGAAACTCAGTTACTTAGTCATGTCTGAAAAGGTACTTGCTACATGAAGAATTCATGAGCTAATGAACAGTATTAAAGTTCTCTTAATTTTTTTTTTAATTTTCATTTCTACTTCATGTAGAAAATCCTCAAACAGATTATCAATATGAACAGCTGTGATTTCATTCTGGTTGCATCACATGTCTGCATTGCAAAAAAACTCAACAAACAACAAATACCCAAACCAACCAACACTGGCTTAACAACACAAAAAGGAATAGAACAGTTCATGAAGGAGAGCAAGCAGGCCCAGCTGCATGATTGCACGAGTTTTCATGTGATAAAAACACATGCTTTTTTTTAATAACACACATATCATCTGTCAGAACAGCTATTGCATGATACAAGTAAATGTTACTGATAAACTGTCAGTTGCAGTTATCTTGCTAAGCTCGGATTTGAATTTCCCTGTGATGTTCTGGAGTTCTGTCAGATTTCTTCCTTTGACCTCGCTGCATGGTTATTTTTTCAATTTGTTTACTGAAAAGCCCCTGAACAACTCCTGCTTACTGCACCATTGGAGAGTATTCTCTGTTTTCTTTTCTTTTCCTACCTGCCATGTGTTTTTTCAGTCACTGCTGGCTTCTCTCTTTTGCTGGTGTTTGTTTTTTTTCATAGTGCTTTTCATATTTCTTAAATGCCTTGCTCTGTCTTACAGTGTTTGTTGGCACAGGGGGAGGTTCATCTCCTCTCTACCACATCCAGGGGAGAAGAAAGTAGGATGGGAAATTCCTTTGAACCTGATGTTGCTGTACAAGTCAGTTGGTTTATTCTGATTTTCTAGTCTTACCTGCCTATCCCAGGTTTTACAGCACTCCAAGAACTAGGGGCAGAATTGTTTGGCAGGATCACCCATATGCTAATGAATTTGGAAATACAGCAGGAGGAAAGAAACAAGCATGTTTTTAAAGAATACAGGGAATGAGCAGTGTTTCTGTATCTCAGAGAAGATTGCATTTGGCCAGCATACAACTTTATTTAGATATTACATCATGCCTGTTGCATATTTATTACTGTCAGTAGTCATGTGAAGCTGAAAAGCAAAAAGAAAATATTCCTGCTGTATTTGCAGCAAACCCAGCTAATGAATGAAGTGCAGCGTCTGCTTGGTCCCCACTTTAGCTGAGCAGTACTGGCAGCTTTGTGCTGTACCTTGGTTGAAGTGACATGTGCTTTCTAGGCCAGGGCCATACTGCATTTGTGAAGCTCAGCAGGAGAGGAAAAAAATAATTAAAGGCACATTTTAACCTACCTCATTCTCCCGAGTTTGAACGGAGCCAGAGTGTATCTAGAAGGGCTGGTGGAGAGTTGTTCAGAGGAAGCTTGTCAGTGTACAGCCAGTAATCAAAATGAGAGAGATGAGGGGCAACTAAAGCTAGTGAGACAAATGCACACTGGGGTATTTTACAGTCGTGTTTTGTGTTTGTGTCCTGTAATTGTCAGAGAGCTTTGGAGCACACCTTACCAATGGCCTAATGTGCCCAGACTTGTTTCTCATATCTTGCCTAACCCTTGCATTCAGAAGTGGTGCATGTTAATTCATTGAGCACACAGAGATTACAGTTGATCCAACATGAGAAGATCTGTCTAAAACAAAATGCAAATAAAAGAGATAGAATGGGAGAAATACAAAATCACTGCTAGGTGGGGCATTTCTTAGTATCAGTTTCAGATCACATTTGAGGGATCTACTGAGATGGAACAAGGGTACTGCTTTTATATCTTTATGATGCACAGCACAAATCTGAAGAAACAGCAAGGGAAGCAGTATTGCGTATACCAGTTTCAGCAGTGAAGAACTAATAAAACTATGACAGTAAAAGATGAACACATGAGACCTGAAAGGAGAAGAGAACTTCTAACAGGAGAGTTTTAAATGCTTTTGGTGCATGCAGTTTATTTTGGCTGTTTGAAAAAAACCTCTAATTTCTGCCCTAATAAATATTTTCACAAAAAATCTCTGAAAGTTCATCCATTTGTTGTTTATGTATTTCAAATTTTTTTCCCAAACAATTTTCTGAGAGCTTCAACATGAAAATTTAAATCTGACATTGCTGCAAGGGAGATGAAAATTCTTTGTGGAGATGAAAAACAGGAAAACTTTTAGGTAGTTTTAAAATAAACTATGTAAAAAACCCTCTCTTCTTGCAGAGAGTTTGGGAGGGTAGAGTTTTGTTTTATGTGTGGTTTATTATAAAAATAGGATCTAGAAATTTTGGAAGTAGAGTTAGGAATTATTGGTAGCTGTTGGTATGCGATTGTTGGTGGCTCTCTCAGTAGTAAAGAATTTTCAAAGCTACTTCTGGACAACAGTATGGCTTTGTCTTTCCTCAGTATCCTTTCATCTGAAAAACAGCTTGACTCTTAAGGCATTTTAATCCTTCCTACCCTAAATAATCAGCTGTTAAGTAGCACAATTATTTTTGCTGGAAGTCTTTAGTTTTACCTAGCTGACATTCAAGTTTTGAACCCTTATAGGATGTATTGTCTGGGATTTCTTGTTGGTGTTGGAGGAGGGTTTGTAGTTGGTAGGTTTTTTACTGCTCAGGGTTCCAGCAGTGTATGAAACACAGGAAAAAACTAAATAACTTTTAAACATGAATTTATAACACAGCTACCTTCTGCTTTGCTTCAATTTGCCTGTCTTTATGCTAGCATTGATGTACATTAAAGAGTTGAAGTCTTGTTTAAGCTGAAGATGTTTCCCTGTTAAATCATTCTTCCTCTTTACAGCCTGAGACAAGAAGCGTGAGGATGAATATGTAGATCTGGGTTTTGCTGTGGAGGGTCAAATGGAATGGGGAGGGGCTGCAGAGCCCTCTCCTGTGTATTCATGAGAATTTCCTCTCCTGCAGGTCTCCTTGTGGGTACTCTTGATGTTGTGTTGGACTCCAGTGCCAGAGTGGCACCATATCGAATCCTCTACCAAGCACCAGACTCCTTGGTCTACTGGACCATTGCCTGTGGTAAGGACAAATGCACTGATGTGGGTTTTTATTCTTCCTGGACTCTGTGTCACATAACATGATAGAGAGCATCCTTCCTGCTGAGCACAGTCATGTCAGGACAAATAAATGGGTCAGAAGGAAAACCTGCTGTAGCGGTGAAATTCAGTGGCACTGGAGTTTCTGCTAGTCAGACTTGGAATGCCATCATGGGAGAGTGTGTTAACCACAATGACTGAATGCAAACAGAGATGGAGCAGGGATGGAACATCTATTTTTTCCTACTTTTCTTCTCCCAAAGGTGTTCCTGGACCAGCAGTCCCCATTCCTCCTCCTTGCATGCTCTTCTCCATGGCCAGGGCTCACTCCTAGAGCACTTGTGAAGTGAGCATTCCTGGGTGAGAGAATGGTGGGAGGAACACCTGAATTATAGCACCCCAGTGCACGCAGGGCACCTGGCTCCCCTTGTAGTGGTAACCAGGAAGAAAATGCAGCACCAGCACTCACACAAACACTGAACAGCAAACAGTGAGACATTTCCTGTCTGCTTCAGGATAAATACCGGCTAGATCCCAGGGATGCCTGCCTCCTGGATGTTTATTTCAGACACTGTGTGGTCTTTCTATGTATGATGTACTTAGAAGTCAGCAAGATGGTAGCTAGGTTAAAGTTAACTATAGAACTCTATGTTCTTACACAGATGCAGCAACTTTTAAGAGCTTTGGTCTTTAATGCTCCAACTTGGACAGATCTGGTTATGGTCCCATAATAAATAAATGTACCATACATGTAGAAATGTATGGTGCTGCTGAACTGTGAGAATTTTGGTTTTTTTCTGAGAAAGGTATTGTGGATTTTATGTAGAAGTACTCTGTCTTCATTTAGGCTAGTATTAATAAACATGCTCTTCAATTATGAATCTTAGCCCTAATTGAAATTGCTAATGTAGTTAATTTATATATCTGTGATTTCCATTTGTGGAGTATTTCTTAAATGTTTAGTCTCCTAATACCTGGTTGATAGTTTAGTTGTTTTGATCAAATTAAAAGACTGCATTGGTGTAGTCTTGTCACTTGACTTTAGGGGAATAGTGTGGATCTTGCAGGGAGATAAAATTTTACAGAGAGCAAATAATTTATCTGTGCAACCTTGAAGCTGAGCAGCCCAGTGTTCCCTAACGCTCTGTGCTGTGGTTATTTTATGAATTTGCAACTAAAGCAATTCTTTCTGAACTGATCAAGGGTTGTTAAAATTATACAGGTTACCAAGGGCTTTGGCTGCTTTTAGCTATGCAACTCTCATTTGTTCTGCACTGTTCTCCAAGGGTAGACTGTTGGTTATTTGGTACTTGTAATCTGTTTTTACAGAAATTTGTCTTTTTCTCCTGCCTTCAGTAAAGAAATAATCTCCATCTTCAGTAAGTAGCTGAACAGAGCGACTTGAAGAAATGCGATTGTTTTGTGATATGTTTGTGATGTTTGGTCTTGCTCAGTGCAAGAGTATTCTGAGGATGAAAGTAATCCAGGGGGGTTTGTCTGCTCTAAAATGACTGTTTAGACAGATTTGGATGTGAAATATCTTGGATATTAACACTACTGATCTGGGCCCTGTGAGGATTCTGGCTGGTGAATCTGAAGCCTTATGGCTCTGGAGAGAAGCCTTGTGAACAGCCCGTTCTCCAGTGCAGGGTTGAGTTAAAGATGTCACAGCTTAGAGTTCTGTTTATTGAATTATACAGGAGAATTTTTATTTACTTTTCAAGAACAATTGATGGTCTGGGAATGCAAAATGCTGTACACAATCAGCCTTTCATATTGTAGTAGCACTTCTGTGTCCCATGCCAGTGTCCCTCCCAGTGTGCTGTGCTCAGTTGAAGGTGAAAATGGTGCTATATTAAATTCTGTTCGGAAGTGAACAACTTTTTTAGATCCTTCTCCACCTATAAAGTTAATTCTTCTAACAGTGGCTTTGTGTGTTTTTCAGTTATAGAACTGCTGTAAACAGGTTTTTTGTGATAATGGTAATTATATGCATTTTCATGCAAGTTGCTGTGTTGTAGCTATTTTCATTTTTATTTCCTGCCACTCTTGAGGGCTCTGTATTTTGAAGTGCAGTGTTTTAACTGTTAAATATGGTTTCTTCCCCTTTCCTGAGAGTCAGAGTTGTTGAATAATTTACCTTAAAGGCCAGTGTTGGTAAAATGGTGAATACTTTTAATATGCTAAGATAGGTAAAAACTTTCCAGCAATAGTGATAAAATAACCTGTAATTTAAAACATTGCAGCAAGTATGTATTTTAGCCCTGAACAAAGAGAAAGACCTTGCCTGTCATGATGAATTATTGAGAAGAGGGGTGTAGGTTTTGGGCTGATTGTGTGATCTGCTGTAGGGGAGACTGGGAATTAAAGGGACATTGACACTAGTGAATTATTTATTTTGTGACTTTTGGTTTGTTTGCTTGTTTGTTTTTTATATAGGTTGCTCGAGGAAGGAAATCACTGAACACTGGGAATGGCTGGAACAGAATTTGTTGCAAACTCTTTCAATCTTTGAAAATGAGAATGACATAAATACATTTGTCAGAGGAAAAATACAGGTAGTCTATTAATTACTGCAGTTGTTGTTAGTGATAAATGTGACTGGGGAAAGAAAAATTATGTGAATTTGAAATAAATTGGAGCTGGTGGTTCCCAGGCTGCTCTGCCTTTTTGAAGAACTACCAGATGCTAAGTAGCAACGTGTGTAAAAATCAGGGAAACTGGGAATAGTGCATGTAGCTTAGAACAGTGTGATTTTTTAAAAAACCATATAAATATATAGGCAGGTCTTAAGGCATTGCAAGTTCTAAAATTAATTGCACTGTCTTAAACTTTGACAGTTGTCTGTGCTACTGTTTTTCCATTGCAAGGCTTAATTTTAACTTTTTTCATGCACTCATAATGTCTCCTCCCCCTCTTCTGTGCAGTTAAGTCCTATAGTATTGGCATTTGCACTCCATATAGGTGTTAGGGTTGCTGGTTCATTGATTTGTTTCCTTGGTGGGAAGTGGGAGTGTTGATTTTCTCAGAGTTTCTTTTTCTCTTTATAGGTCAGATAATAACTATACTGGCAAAAAGTACTTTTTTTGTACTAAGAATTATCTAAAAATACATACTTTTTTCAAAGATTGTAAGAAGAATTGCTGTATTTATTGGTGTGTGTTCAAAGTATTGGCTTTGTCTCATTCCTCTTTTAACCTTTTGTTTCATAAGTCAGCTCTCTTACAAATCCCACAGTTGCTTGTGTTTCCCCAGTGAATCAGGCATGAGTGCTATAGATGGTCATGGAAATACCTTATATGTGTGTTTTGAAATATAATCCTTAAGGAAATTGTTGCTTCCTAGATTTGGATCAATACTAAATGTGAACGATGTTTCTCTGTCTTATACTCTGCTCTTCATGTAAATATGGAGCAAGTTGAAGGCAAAAAGTCACAAAAAGGCAAAAATTTTATAACTTTTATATAAAAGACAATAGAGATTGGGAAAATAAGCAAATAAAACAGAGTATAGAACAGAAGGAACCGTAGTCTTTAAAAATATTAAAAAACATCTTTTGACCTGTTCCCTCTTCAAATTTCATGAGGGTCATCTGCACCTGAAAGTGGGAAATTTTTTCCACTCTGTTAGTAAGTCTGATTGAAGATTTTTTTTTCTTCTTTCTTCTCTTTCTTCTCCCCCTCTTTTTTTGCTCTTTTATGCTCAAGGTCCAATAAGAGGGGTCATAGAAGTAATACAAAATTTTCTGTAAAGAGCAACAGTTCCTTTTTTTCTTCCCTTCAGAAAAATGTCATGTGAAATCCTGTGTCTGTTTCCCCAGGAAGGAAGATGAAAATACTGCAGGCCATGGGTGCTTCACAGGGCTGTTAGGAGTGTTTGAGTTGGGTTGGATAATTTAAAACAAGGCACTGGCAAGGGGGTCGGTGTTTGGTTGCTGTTGACATGGGCACAGCAGGGAGTAAGGCCATCAGAAAGAAAACCTTGAATAAAGTGAATAACTACACAAGTCAAAGAGTGAGCAGAACAATAAGAGCTCCCTGAACGACTTCCTTGGCAGTGCAGTAACCATTGTGGCCTGGATGGCCGTGGGAATTAGGATATCTGATAGCCCATGGCCACTAACAGGATTGTTCTGGTTTTATTCCCTGCCAGGGCATCATTGCTGAGTACAACAAGATCAATGGCATCAAGGAGGATGATGACACTGAGAAATTCAAGGAAGCCATAGTGAAATTTCACAAGCTGTTTGGGATGCCAGAGGAAGAGAAATTAGTGAACTACTACTCCTGCAGTTACTGGAAGGGAAAGGTTCCCCGGCAGGGCTGGGTGTATCTCAGCATCAATCACCTTTGCTTTTACTCTTTTCTCATGGGCAGGGAAGGTATGTTAGCAGTGGAATGGTAATTTGTGCATCTCACAGTGGTTAGGAAATCTCCTGTAGCTTGTTTCTTTTCACGTACTGATCACTGAGGGTACAAAGACACTACTGAGGAAAGGAGAAGCAGGGAGTAATTCCCTGATTTGTCACACTGCTTAACTGGGTGCTTGTTCCCTTGTTTGTTTGGTCTTTCTTAAAGTAGTTCTCTGTAAAAAGGAAATAGGGACAAGATCACACCAGTTCTGATTTTCTTTTCTGCTCTTACACAATCCTCACGTACTACTCTGGCAGACTTTGCAACCTTAAATCACATTTGTTCAACACCAGAACATCAAAAAGGTTTCAGAGGAGACCCAGAATAAAGAACTGCTTAGTGTGGATGCAGCCAGTCTGCTCTGCAGGGGGTTAATTCGAGGGACAGTGGAGTTGAGCAATTCAGCACTATTTTTGGTTATGGGCAAGGGATCACTCTTGGGATTTAGCCCCTGCTTTAAGGACACCAGCTATATTGGTCCTGGGAGAAAAGCTTAGGTTCTGTGTGGCTGTAATATTTGAAACTTTTTGCTGTATAAAGATAAGACAAGCCTGTCTGATGTGTTCAGACTGTGTTTCTTTGCTTCCATAGGAAAAGGAGATCAGAGTCTGAGCTAGTGCAGTGACAATGATAAGTCATGTTAGCTTACCTGGTCTTGCAATGCTTGTGTGGTGTTCTGTAAATAAAGTAAATGATATTTAAACTCTTTTATCTCCTGTTTGTCAGGTGACAGTGGTTTGTTTGTACAAACTTGATCTATTTATGCTGTACTCCCAAATTTCAGGGTGCTAGAAAAAGTCAGTTGAATGCATTTTATAGGACGAGGAAGCTAAAAGCTCCTGAATATGCTCATTTTTGTACTGAACCTTGTTTTTTGTTTGCTCCTGTTCAGCAAAGTTAGTTATCCGTTGGGTTGATATCACTCAGCTTGAGAAGAATGCTACGCTGCTCTTCCCTGACATGATCAAAGTGAGCACGAGGTCAAGTGAACATTTCTTCTCAGTATTCCTTAACATCAGTGAGACATTTAAACTGATGGAACAGCTTGCCAATATAGCCATGCGACAGCTTTTGGACAATGAAGGATTTGAACAGGACAGGTCATTGCCCAAACTGAAAAAGAAATCCCCCAAAAAAGTGTCTGCTCTAAAACGGTAATTAGCATTGCCTCTTACTCATTTGTTCCTCCTCAGTCCTTGTACTTGCAGGATTTTGTCCAAAAGTTTTCTAATGTTGTGGCCATTTACTGCTACTCCAAAAGGAATGATTGATTCCAGCAGTGGCAAAATGTGAATAATTATTTAAATATAATTACTTGGTATCTTGTTGAAATAGGGATACGAGCATGTTGCAGAAATAAGCTTTCTTGGGCCAAATGCTCATTTGTTCAGAATCTCTTTAGTGTATCTCCTGATACTGGCCACATTTTGGTATCTGTTATAAGGCCATTTTATGTCTGTATGGGAAGGTAATAAAGTGATTAATGTGCTGTTAAGAACTATACCTAGTATTCATATTTTATCTTATCACTGGAATTGAGAAGTTAGAGTCTAGAGTAACAGTTCTGTCTGGAATATAGTTTAGGTAACAGCAATACAGAAATTGACATAAAATTCTAAGGAATGAAAAGTTATCTGAAAAATATTTCTTCTTCTTTTATATCACACTTCAGCTTTTTAGTTTCTTTTTCATTTTTTCTTTATATGTCATTCATGTTAGTGTACCATACAGAATTATAGCCAGTGCCTGTTTATATTTCTCATTATTTAGTGACATCTGACACGCATTGTATCACTTTTGTTTGTCCTTACTGTTGAGTGTTTTGCACTGAATGCATTATCAAGACTAAGTCTTGAAATTGTTACCAAACTCTAACCTTAAGGATTCCATGATGTTAATAAAAAAGCCTCAAAGAAGCATTTTTTAATTACTATTAGCAAAAAATGGATTCACTGTATATATTCTCAGAAAGTGCAGCTGAATATGGAAAGCTCACTCCGTCTTTCCTCTCTGAGAAGTGAGGATGAATGTCTGAGTCATTCATGGCAGAGTTTTTTCTCAGGTGGTTTTAGAACCTTCCAAAAGTGAAGACTGTATCTCCACTATAGGCAAATTATTTCCAGCTTTTTGCTGTACACTCCTTGCTTAGCTATGTGTTGCAGGTAACTTGCAATGATTTGCATAAAATATATCTTAAAATGTATTAATACGTTCCCTAAACCAAGAAAATCTTTCTGTGGGTTTTTTTAGAGATCTTGATGCCAGAGCAAAGAGCGAGAGATACCGTGCATTGTTCCGACTCCCCAAGGATGAGAAATTAGATGGACACACAGACTGTACTCTTTGGACTCCTTTCAACAAAATGCATATCTTGGGTCAGATGTTTGTGTCTACAAACTACATTTGCTTTACTAGTAAAGAAGAGAACTTGTGCAGCCTTATTATCCCTCTTCGAGAGGTATATACTTGTATTTTTTAATTTATATGGCAATTTAAATAAGCAGTGTCTTATTTAGCTTTGATTTTTTTTATTTTGGTGGGGGTTTTTGACTATATTTTTTTATTCTTTTTGGAGAAAAGCCTCTTTTCATCCTTTTTATCTCTTGTGAGCATGCCATACTGATGTGTTCTAGGTAATATTTAATGACTATCTATCTTAGTTCATGGTTCCTACTACTGAAGCTTGCATGGAATTTTTTCTATCAGTTTTCATAACCCTTGTGAATTCTTCCTCTCTCATAACTTGTATTCTGATTTACAGCCCAATTTTACATTTTTTGTGCCTCATAGGGAGGAGTGGAGGGTGAAACTTCCTACAGTGGAAATTCTGTTAAAGAATCTGTCACATAAGATTTACTTTTGTCAGATGTAAAAAGATTCATAATCCTAAAGTTTTGAGTTGCCTCTTCACACAGACTTGCAATTGTTTATTCTTGTATGTGGAAAATATTTTGTCTGTATTTTTCAAATTGGTGTGTTTCCCTTTTCAAAGCTGGTTGCTTAAAGCAGATCATCAGTAAGAAGAGTTTCTTTATGCAATTAAAAAATAATTATGTTGGGGAGTTTTTTATGGTTGACTTGATTTGTGGGTTAATGGCAAATTGTGGTAAGTAAGTTTTGGAAGTAGTAGCAAAGCTGATGTAACCAAGGACAGTTTGGCTTGACTGAAGAACCATGGAATACTTCAAGGCACTGTTTTCCCCTGCAAATCATAAAGAGTAAAACGAGTACATGTTCAGAAACTTTGAAGTACAGGTTCTCAGCAGCTTGTTGCAGCAACTTTGGTTGTTTGGGATGAGACATTCAGTTATGGTTTCACTGTTTGTCTGAAAATCAGAGGGAATGGCAGTCCTGCAGGTAAAGTGGTGGAGAGGGAGTCAAAGTCTTTATTTAACAGGACCTCTTTTCCTGAATGCAGATTCAGCAACTGCTTTTGATAGCCACAGTCACAGCAGCACAGGATTCAGAGCAGCTCCAAAGCTTTAAGAGACAGAAGTAGGTGAAGGAATAAATGCTTCTGTTTGAACAGCTTCAAGTCTCAGCACCAGCAAGGAGAGCAGTAAACCAGGGGGGTAGTGCCAGTCCTCAGATCATCTGATCGGTACCTGTAGTAATTAAAGGAAACCTTTCTATCTAATGAAAGCTTTGGGTTAAACCTTAAGTTAATTCCAATGTTCTGTAATATCCTGGAGGTGTTTTGACAGATGAGACAATAGCAAAGCATTGATTCAGAAATTATGAAGGGGAAAGATGCTTTTCAGTGGCTGACTGCACTGCTCACTGCACTTTCAGCAGGTGCCCTCTCCAAGATAAAGCACCTCAGATATGTGTGTGTCTCTATTGAATAGGAAATAAGTGGATATCAGCTCTCATTATAGCAGAGCTATAATTAGGCTTGCTTTAATAATGACTGTCCTGTGCCTTTACAGCCTGTATTGTGTGCTGATTGTACTCAAACAGCTTTTAAGTGGAACAGGAAACACAGGGAACACTGTTTAGCTAACTTCAATATGCTATTAGTGAAGTCCTTTAAGTTAACAAGTAGGTAGTAGATTTGTAGTTAACAGAACAATAAAAGGAGGTGGAAAGAACAGAGAAGTGGTTTAGCCCCTGAGTGGTGCACTGCAGTCTTTAAGTCTTCAAAGAGAATGCATGAAAAATGGTTACCCTATCCATTTAGCTAGAGCTATTAATATTGTAGTACTCATGTCTTACCATTGATTTCTGGTTTTGAAAAGGTTAAAGGAGCAAGAGTCAAAAAGTCCTAGTGAAATTAAATGTCCTGCTTTCTGTTCTGAAGGCAGTAAGTCAGTTTTCATTAAGAAATCATCTAAAGTAATAAAAGCAATAGTTCAAAGTATTTATAATTGTGATTTGTGTTTTGTTCAATGTATGAACTGCACAAGCTTGATGGACTGATATGTTTATGAGGTAATAGTTGGTAATGTTTAGGGCACACAACTGTTACATAATTCATCAACAGTGTATGACTTATCCCTGAGATTTCTGTGTGTTAATGTGCTTTACCAAAACCTCAGGGAACTCATTCTCTGTACTCAGTAGATTGTGGTATGAGTACTGTTTACAGGCTGGAGTTCAGTTAGATTAGTGACTGTTCCTCTAACAACTGAAGGCCATTGAGAAGCCTCCACCTCTCAGGGTTAGATATTTTCCTTTGTAAGGGAAGACATAGGGCTAATTTCCCTTTGTTGCAAGTTCCTGTGTACTGTGAAAATGCATTTAAAATACCACTGTGCAACTGTTTTCACAGTATGCAGCTGTAGTACAATTGTGCAGGAGCATCATCTCAGAAATGGTTTTTTCACATGTATTGGCACTAAAAGGTAGGCCAAGGTTTCTGTGACCTGTGCTGATGATGTTAGGAAGCAAGAGAGGGATTTGGAAGTCCTACAAAAAAGCTGATAGATTTGTATCCCACAGATGGAATTTTGTTTTACTGATTCTTTTAAAATGCAGTCTGAGTAAAATCAGCTAAGTAGTTCAGGGGAGTTTTGATGGAAAATGTACTGAAACCAGTTGTTTGAGAGATTACAGCCTTTATCTTTCAGGCTTGTAAGCCCTTGTATGCAAACCATGTTTTCTGGCAAAGGGGTGTCCACTGGGATTTGATATAAGGGTGGAAGGAGAATGGCTTTATTGTATTAAGATGGTTTCTTACACCAAGCAGCTTGATTACCTAAAGATCTTAAGCTGTAGCAACTGTTTGTTCCTAGGTGACAATAGTGGAAAAGGCAGACAGCTCCAGCGTGCTGCCCAGCCCACTGTCAATCAGCACGAAAAACAGAATGACATTCCTCTTTGCCAACTTGAAAGACAGAGACTTCCTTGTGCAGAGGATCTCAGACTTTCTGCAACAAACCACCTCAAAAATATACTTGGATAAAAATATTTCTGGAAGCTATATCAGCTCAGATGATGAGGTATGTGAAGGAACACGAATAATTTACTAGAAGAGGATTTTAACTGGTGTGGGGAGAGGAAGCACCTTTACGTTTTTGTAAAGCTAAACCTTTAGGCACAGAAATGTGACCTCTTTTTTGTTAATGCCTTTGACCTGAAGTGTTAAAATTTGTCAGTTAGGATATCTATCTTTTTCATGTTAAACCTAAGAGAAGTGTCATAGTTAATTAACTGGTTAATTGAATAGTACTTTTAATATCTATTTACTTGTCCAACTGAAATGTAATTCTGGAATTTTAATAATTTGAAGAAATTATCAGTTGGCACGAAACTCCTTTTATTCAAGCCTTTAGCTGCTAAATCCCGTCTTTTGATTCTTCTGCAAACAATGCCTGAGCTGAGCTGGCTTGTATGTGCACTTCTAGTGAACTTCGGAACATTTGACCTAACAGGAAAAAAACAGCTCTGTCCTGAGCATCAAAAGACCCTATTCTGAACCACCTCCTTACATATGTGTGCAAAGTAAATAGTTCTTAAAAGTTATGACTAGATACACTTTTTTAGGTGCTTTGAATGTCAAGCCTTCTGCTGAATTCCAGCTTTTATGTATGAAATTCAGGTCATATAACAACCTCATCAGTTCTGTTAAACCCATATTATAAAGTATAATAATTCAGATCTCAAAGTAGAAGAGGCTTTTGTGGTGTATCATTTTGGTATGATGTTGGTATATCTCACATTTCAAGTCTGTCCTAAGCCATACCTTAGTACTGTCCTGTGGAGCCCTACCCTGTTTGCAATGTGTGTCTTCAAAGAATTGTTCCACTTGCTTTGTTGGGGGTGAGGTATAATTACTGTGCTGTTGTATACCAGAGCATGTAGGCATGTATAGTGCTGGAACTTTTGCTGTAAATGGATCTAAGTGTTCTACCTACTGAATTATAAAAACAAATTATTGTTAGCATTTACTACAATTCATAATATGACTACATATCTAGATATGCATGACTGACTTGCAGTTTCAGGCATTTGGTGTGAACTGCTCCATGAGATTTTACTATGATGCAGTTTCAAAGCTGTTTGAGAAGTCAGAAAATCCTTTTTCTTCAAAATACTTTTCTTCCAAATCACAATCTAGTAGTCCTATGATGTTGCCAGATCAAGGGAGCTGTTTTATTGCCTGGGGCTACTTAGGGCTAACATTACCCTAGCAGTTCTAGTTCTAGAATTTGGTTGTGTTTCAGGAGAGCTGTTGAGAAACTGGAAGCTATTCTGTTATTCTCTCTCTACTGGTTAATTTCTGCTGGCTTATGTTTTTGTTAATCGTTAGCATGTATACATTTTGAGGTAAAGTGAAGTAAAAAGTCCAGACACTGGCTCATCTTTATGCCTATATTGCTTGTGACTGCTTTCTCCAGGTGTTTACAAGGTCAAGTAGTTTAATTTCTGCCAGCCCTCACAAAAGCCTGAGCTCTGAGTCAGAGGGAGAGCGACAATTCAACCTCAATGATAACGGAATTCCAACAGCAACTCAAGCTTTAATGACCATGTATCGGCGCAGGTCACCCGAGGAGTTCAACCCTAAGCTGGTAAAATACACTTCTGAGTGCTCCACCTGACTGAAAAGGCTGTCAGATTATGTTTGCCTTAAAACCCATGTTGCTGACCCAGAAGAGTTTGATTCTGACAGACAGTTAAGAAGAGGCAGTATTTTTCACAGAAGTAAAGGCTTGAACATATTGTTGTTTTACCAGTACAAACAATTTCGCTACATAAAAGCAAATCTGGATGTAATTCAAGGGGATGTTGTTGCATTCCTGCTCTTAAGTATAACTGCTTCTCTTAGCAGCAAGGTCTACTGGCATAGAAACTGGGGAATGGGAGGAGGCAGCCCATTAAGAAGGTAACTGGACTGCAGCCAGGTTACTTCTTGCTCACTTGGAAGGTTAGGATATTGCAGGCTTTTTAGCACTCAAGATTTTAGTGGGTCAGAGTGTTAGAAAGAGAAGCTGCATCTTTATGCCTGCCTTTCTTTGCTTTTAGGCCAAGGAGTTCCTGAAGGAGCAGGCCTGGAAGATTCATTTTGCTGAATATGGCCAAGGGGTCTGTATGTATCGTACAGAGAAAACAAGAGACCTTGTGCTAAAGGGCATTCCAGAAAGCATGAGAGGGGAGCTTTGGCTGCTCTTCTCAGGTAGGTTTCCCTTTGAATGTGTCTGTGGGATATAAGCAAAGGCATGAGGGAAGAAGGGAATTCAAAGGTGATTAAAGGTGCACATAATAAGTGTCTGAAAATATTTGGAGTAAGTAAGGCTGTGATTGTTAGCGGGCACCAGACGAGTTTAGACAAGATTTCTGTAAGACCAGCAAATGCCCTTTCTCAAAGAGGCTCACATAATTAAGGAAGAATACATAAAAAGCAGACCACATGCTTGGCAACCAGAAGCCAGTTGTTTAGGGACCTTCTAGGCGTTCAGCAACCACCAGCAAGCCTAATTCCCATTTATTTAATAATTTCTGGATCCAATTGAGCTTTTAGCCTTCTCAGCAATTGTTGCAAGGAATTCCAAAGGATTCTCTAGATATGTGTCCACTTAAAGTTGTTTTTTTTTTTTAAATTGAACAATTTTATTACTAGTTCTATGGAAATCCATCCTACCTTAGGCATTCTTCATAACCTATCACCACATGCCTTCTTTAGCTCTACCCTCCCCAAGATAATTACCACAGCTACCCACTCCACTTATGATGTGAGCACAAGGGCCTTTTGTCTGATGACCTCATGATGCTTTCAAGTTTGTTCTCTATTTCTTCCCCAGTAATATAGTCATGTACATTTTCTCTTTGCTGCTGGGCACTAGAGGAATGTTTTTGGAAGATAGACACAGGAATGCAGAACTCTGTTTTGCGTCCTATTAACAGCTAGTTTGGACTAATTTTCACTGTGTATCTGTAACTCTACTTTCTGTGTAGATTACTTTGTGCTACTGACGCTTGATTTTGTTTCTGGAGAAGTTGTAAAGCCAGTAGTGAAATCTCATAGCAGCTCTGTGAGCATGTAGTGGTATCCCTAAGGCTGAGTGCCCTGCCCAGGATGACAGCATCATTTTCAGAAGTAGGAACAGAACTCATGAGTTTTTGTCTCTTGCTTTTGGCTGACTTGTCATACTGTCTGCAACCAGACACTAATCTACACTGTTCCCAGGGCATGTAACTTTCTCAGAGACAAGTTTTGAGTTATTTAGGATAACCAAACCCACAGCCAGCTGCAGAGGGAGCTCATGATACCATGTGACTGCACAGTTGGTTTGTTCTTCACGCCTCCTGTTTCATTGTGGCGGAGAGGGATTTTATCCTCATTATAAAATGCCTGTAGAGAAGACAGGAAGGGCTGATAATCACCAAAGCCCATACTTCTAAATTTTTTAATCACCTTTAAAGAAATAATATTTTCATATTTGCTTTCAGAGTTCTTGATGACACTTGGAATGGAAGGGGAGCAGACTATCATGTTGAAGTACTGTACCTGCTAAACCTTCCATTTTCTCCTGGTTTTAACGCTGTTCTGCTACTCCTAGGAGCCATTAATGAAATGACCACTCATCCTGGCTATTATGAGGACCTAGTGGAGAAATCAATGGGAAAATACAATCTTGCTACAGAAGAGATAGAGAGGGATCTGCACCGCTCCCTTCCAGAACACCCTGCATTCCAGAATGAGATGGGTATTGCTGCTTTAAGGAGAGTCTTGACAGCTTATGCTTTCAGAAATCCAAACATAGGATATTGTCAGGTAATTGAAATCCCCTGCACTCCTTCAGTTTCTGGAGTTCCAGTTCTGTCCTTGCAGGCTGTCCTTCAGTCATGCACGTGAGGGTTTGGCTGTGTGAAGCACACTGAGCTGTGGATGGTGCTTGTGAGCTCGGTGCTGCAGAGAGGCAGGAATGCTGAGGCCAGAGGGATGTCACACAAGGACCTGCTCTAACAGCACTATTAGCAGCACACATTGAGAGATTTTCTGTAAGCATAATTTCTGCTCATAAATCTACAAACTGGACTGATGATAACAGAGCTGTCTACAGAAAATGACAATGTACCCTGAAGAAAGGTTATTTTCATATTAACAAAAAATACCCTCAAAACCAAAACACATTGTGTTCAGTCTTAAATTTTTATCTATTTTTACCTGTCCATATTATAATGAAATGTTATTCAATGTATTAGTTATAACCCTCCAGAACCTCCTTTCCTCTTTCAGTGATGCCATGTCATCATTCAAAACAATGAAAAGAAACAAAACCAGAAAACAACCGAAAAACCAAGCAAAAACCCCCCAAACACTTTGGAAAAAATAAAGTATCCTAGGAGATATCACTGGGAGTCCTAACCATATATCTGTGGAGTTAATGCTGACCCCAGTGCATGGTTTTGAGGTTCTTATGCCCATAATTCAAGTCACTAGTTTCTGGTCCTAAATATTTCTTTCATACTATATAATTTTTGTTTATCACTGGGTCTTTTTTTGCCTTCCTACATACTTTTGCAAAGAAGAAACTTAGATTTGTTAGTATTAAGAAGCCTTATTAATGTCTAACTTTTAAGACTTCCAGATGCAACTTGAGTAAGTGCAAGCAGTTGTAACAAGATACCATCATAAATTATTTAATAACACATGAGGTACTAAGTAATAGCTACAACGTTTTTAAAGATTATTTGACAGAGAAGCAGTAGAAAGATATTTCAGTTCTGGTCCCTAGAACTGTCACAGTAATTAATAACCTTGAGATTTGGTTCAGCTACAGTGAGAATTCAGGCACATCACTAGTGCTGTGGGAGGTGTTCTGGCTGCACCAGACCCAGATTCCCCAAGAGCACCTATGGCAGAATATCAGTAGCAGTGTAACAGATGCTTGCAGACCTGGCTCAGCCCTTGATTAGGAAGAAAAATCTTGATTTCTTAGAAAAAAAAATCTGCAACACAAAACAAACAACCCAAAAAAACCCACCAAAAAGCCCCAGTGAAACAACAACAACAAACAAAAGAAAAACCTTACAATTTTCTGTGATTTGAAGTTTCCTAACCACTTTTCCGCCCAGGTCCAGTGCTAGATATTAAATAATTGTATTTCCCTTTCTTTTAGGCTATGAATATTGTCACTTCAGTGCTCCTCCTTTATGCAAAAGAGGAAGAAGCTTTCTGGCTGCTGGTGGCTCTGTGTGAGCGTATGCTGCCTGACTACTACAACACAAGAGTTGTTGGTAAGCTTTGGGGACATGTTTGAAATGACACTAAAAACTAACCAAATGAACTGGTGTTATTTGTACTGAAACAAATATATGGGTAGGTGCATCTGTGCATGCTGGTGATGAGCCAGCTTGCTCAGGAGAATAAAGGCAATTTCCTAAAGAGGTAATGTTATTGCTAATAGTTTATCACCTACTCAGGGTCAGATGACATTCTAAATTGGGGTTAAGTAAAGTAGATTGTTAAGAAAAGATGGGAGGCTAAAATTTGAGTTTTAGATGATCCAATTAGCTGATTAAGGTAAGGTGGAAACAGGAGCTTTAGCAGTTTGCAGTAGAAGTCTTTGTGCCTGTACCTCTGATGTGGAAGGGCACAAGTATCAGAAAGCTGTTGTTGTCAGATGAGCTTCCTTGTGCATGTCAAAGACAGTGACTTCAATTTATCATGGAATCTGCTTTTACTATAGCTCACAAATACTAGAGATACTCAGCCTTAGAAATTGTTCTTCCTGGCCTGTTTAAAACACTAATGTTGTGGCATGGGAATGTATAATACAGAGTTCTCTTGAAGTAAATCTGAACCCTCACAGTCACTCTGGCCTCATTCAACAGGTGATGCTGAGGTCTTGCTCCAATTAGTAATGGTAATATCAAGCCACTATTTAACTTCTGCTACTGCTAGACCAAATTACTCTGTTCTTATTTATTCTGAAGTGTATTATTAAAACAGAAAAAAACTTATTACAGTTCAATTTGTATGTATAGTAGTGTAATGGAGTCTGTTACTCATTTGAAAGTGAGAAAATGTGCATAAGCACCATGCAAAATATTCTTAGGTTTTTTCATTTATATACATAAAATATATAGGAGTTTTTTTCCTCCCCTAAATGGCTATGTATCAGTTGCTCCTGAATTAATTCAGCCTTATTTATCTTCAACAGGAGCATTGGTGGATCAGGGTGTCTTTGAAGAGTTGGCTCGTGACTACATTCCACAGCTTTATGACTGCATGCAGGATTTGGGTGTAATCTCCACCATCTCCCTGTCCTGGTTCCTCACTCTTTTCCTCAGTGTAATGCCATTTGAAAGTGCAGTGGTAGTTGTGGATTGTTTCTTCTGTGAAGGAATAAAGGTGATATTTCAGTTAGCACTCGCTGTCCTCGAAGCTAATGTAGACAAGTTGCTTAACTGTAAAGATGATGGAGAAGCCATGACAGTCTTGGGAAGGTATTTATTACAGAAAATTAAGTATCTTCATTTTTGTGGTTTTGGGTTTTTTTTTGCTTGCTTTTCTGATTTGTATTCTATGTTGAAATACTAAATTTAAACCAGTATTATATATGTAAACCTTTTACATACTTGTAGTCTCCTTTCATCCATGTAAGGTGCTCCTTATATTATTTTAAAATAATGCTAAGTGACCAACAAGATGCAAATTCTTCTTTCAAGACATTCGAATAAGCTTCCCAAACCTAGTTATAGAAATTTAACTTGGTCCATTATTTTAGTGGATTGCATGGGTTTTGTTACTTCAGCCTGCTACCTTTTATGTATTAAGAAAAAGCCTTGGTGTTAAGGAAGATTGTTTTGGGAATAGACTAAGTTGGACTCAGAATAATTAGGTAGGATCTTGAAAAAATAGATTTCAGTGGCTTGAGTCATTCTATCAGAACTAGTGCTGCTGAGTGTAACCTCTGCTTTTCTTGGGCTTGGTAGTGGTGTTTAGTTTTCCATATGCTTCTGGAACTTTGGATTTTTTTCATAATAAATTTCAGTAGTATAACCTTAACTGTTCCTAGAGAATGGTTTTATCACTTCTACATGTAATAATCAATACGTAACCTGTATGCTGTTAACCCTCAGAAGGGAGGGCATACAAATTTATCTTGAATTTCTCATTTCTTTATTTTTTTTCCCACCAGGTACTTGGACAGTGTAACTAATAAGGACAGTACTCTTCCTCCCATTCCTCATCTTCACTCCCTGCTCAGTGATGATGTAGAGCCTTATCCTGAGGTGGATATCTTCAGGCTAATCAGGTCTTCCTATGAGGTAGGATAAGACTTCTTAACAGGAACTTACCAACTAACACAGCTTCTGCTCCACAGAGGAGTTTGATACTCTAGTTTGGCTTTGCTTGAAACAGAAAGAACATAAAAGAAATGCAGACTCATCTGAGAGGCCTGAAATGGAGCAAGGAAGAGGAGTTAGACTTTCTTCTTCTTTTAACCAAGACTTAATTGGAGCTGTTTTCAGAGAAGTGTGAGGCCTCAAAGGAGAGCAGCCCACAACCAAAAAGTGATTTACTAACAAAAGGCTGAACTTTTAATTTGAAAGGAGTTAATTCTCATTTAAGCTTTTTTGTGCTTTTCCAAACTGAAATAGTAGTGAAATCTGTATGATTTCAGAAGACCTTTCTTTTATCAGTGAAACTTTGTTTTAAAAGTGCTGATTTTGACCATGGGCCGCTATATTCTCTACTATCACCAAAGCTAAAAGAAAATCCAAGTGAAAGGAGCTGCTAATAACTAATATCTATTAAAGGGCAGGACAAAGCCTGCAAAACCAGGTAAAATCTGCACACTGCTTTAATTGTCCTTAAATTTTATAAAAAAGCCATCAGTAAAAATATGTCTGGTTACTCTGACATACCCATATTTTACAAAAATCAAGGAAAAACTGTAAAGATTTTTTCTCTTTAATTTCCATTATTCCCTTCCATTGATATGGAGTTGATTTACACATAGCAATAGCACAGCTTTCTACAAAGGCACTTCCTATGGCCCTAAACCCCCCTTGCTTTAATATACCACATTTAATAAGGAAGTAGGCAGTCCTTAGTGTGTTCTGTGCCGAAGGGAAAAGCGTGTCAGGATAGATGGATGTTTGGTAGATGTCAGAATGGCCAGCAAGGTGTTAATGTGAAGTTGTGTTTCCCATGCATTTTTCCATTTTCCTCATCATGAAGATTGCTTGCATTGGCTTAACTGCTCTAAAATGAATCATCTGACTCCATGCAGAGCTAGTTTGTCTTTTTGGGGCTTTGGCAGCACAGAACCTTGTATGTCCTTCTAGGTAAATAACCAACTGCTCTTCAGCATAATTAGGCAAAACAAGTAGCATGGTGAGTGAGGAACCATGAGGAAAGCAGGAGCTGCTTGCAAAGAGAGAATTCATTTCAAGAAAGTTGCTGTTAATTAATTTATTTAAAAAACCCTAATAATTCTATAGTAAACTGCATAATAACTGGAGTTTTAAAAGCCTGTGCATAACTCACTAGCTGTCTGTGGAGTGTAGACTCATAATTGGAGCTGTTACATGTTTAACTCATTTAATTTGTGTGTTAGCTAGTTAGGAAAAAAATTGGCCTTCAACATTTCAGTTGTGTGTAGCGTGGTGTCTGGCCATACTAACTCGAGAACTGACACTGGAAGGTCTGGGCTGTGGAAAGGTTTGATACAGCTTTGACCTTGAACAGGTGCCATCTTTCCAACAACCCCTTGTACAATTTGAAATTTAGCATGGACAAAGGACCATTCCCAGAAGGTAATCACCTGCAACCTTCCTCTTTTGAAGACTACGTGAGTTTTAGTTTTATGGATGTGAACAGACCATCTTATTTGGCCCTCCAGTCCAGTAAATAAACTGATTACTGGAATAGGTGTAGCCTCAGAAGATCTGTCGTTTGAAGGTTTTGTGAATACCTGAAATACCTCTGTGATACCTGATATTCATTAATATCTACATTCTTCATGTTTATCTACATTCTGTTTTTGTCAAGACTTCTCTATCTGCAACATGCTCACAAGTGCATGAAGCATTTTTTTACTCCCTAGGTACAGGATAAAAATGAACACCTTTATAGATAAATGCAGCTTTAGCATGAATTTCATTTTACAAGAATATGCCAGCATATTATGACCTGCTTATGTAGATGCACTTGCACTGGAAATATAAATCCATCTTGTATGAAAGTGTGTCCTGCCACCCCTTTATGCTTTACATGTGGTGCAGTTGATGTCTGGCATTTTTGTTCCTGCTGATCATCTGTGCATTCCTAGGTGTGTGGATTTTGGATGGCAAGAAATTATAATACTGCATATAATACTTCTAGAGAAACGAATCTGAGGGATTTGGCATTCCTCTGCGTATGAAAACATGGAATATTATTCCTAATAGGTTTTCCCCCATGATACTTTTGTAGTATGTGCAGGAGCTCCCTGACACTGTTATGTGCATTTTGGAAAAAACTTTTGAAAATAAGACTTGGGTATTAAAGAGCATCTTTTCCTAGTGGAAATTGCATTCTTGCTACTTTGTTTCAGATCCTCAGAATGTATGTACTGCTGTACTGTCTCAGCCATTAGAGATCCAGCTAGTTTAATAGTTTAATATTCTCTTTCTGTTGGGATTATGAGACATTCCAGGACAAGCTGAAATATAACTCTGCAGGAGGACTTACGAAACAATCTATTCACAGAGGTTTGCCAAGCAAGAAGTTTCTACCTTCTGAGATTACAGTTTGAAATGAGAGAGTTTGAAATTGAATACAGACCTTTCAAATTAAAATAAGTTATTGGGAAAAATAAAATCTAGTGATATACTCCTAAAGTCTTTGTAATTTTGTAATGTGTTTGAAAAATGCATTAGCAGCAGTTTCATTTGTGGTACATCACAAAATTAAATTAATTTTTCTAATAAGTTACAGGCAAGCTGAATATTCTGAATATTAATACACAGACAATCATGTACTGCTTTTTCTCTTTCAAGAAATTTGGAAGTATCCGGGCAGATTTAATTGAACAAATGAGATTCAAACAAAGACTGAAAGTCATCCAAACCCTCGAAGATACTACAAAGCGCAATGTGGTCAGTACTGAAATATAATATAATAATGGTTTTTGCACAGAATAAGTTTAGTCAGTTTCTGAACCTAACTTAGCTTTTCAGTGAAATGTGAATTTCTAATCTGTAACTGTTGATGTTGTTTCCAAAGGTACGGACTATTGTGACAGAGACTTCTTTCACTATCGATGAACTGGAGGAACTGTATGCGCTTTTCAAGGTAAAGCGAAGTGAAGATAAGGTCATGTGCCTCTAGGAGGTGTAAATGCTCATTTTGGTGTGGGAATCTGTCTTTTCCAAACACCAAGTCAAGTCTGTCAGTTATTGTTTGGTATCTTGATACAAACTTGGATTAGCTGCTGTATTATTGATATACAAAAAAATCCTAAACTCAAGCAGTTTTAAAACATTGAGAAAGGTTTAGTTCACTAATTGATTTGTCCATGGAAAAAAATATATACTGCTAAAAATATAAAATGAAAAATGGGATAGAGGCTTTTGATCAGTCATTAGAAACTAAACATAGGTGTCTCTCTACCTGACCCAAGTTTTGGAATTTATCACAATTATTCTGTTATCTCAGATAGTTAATACTTCTGTATAGCAGTAGCTGATTTTTACTATTGTTAATGCTTTAATGCATTAAATGGGAATTGAATGCCACAAAGTGATGTGTCTTTGTAAGTTGGTTGTACAGCAGTGCCATTACATCTTAAAGGTGAGCATTTAAATGTGTTAGCTTCACCTTCCTGCACAGTGTCTTAAGTTACTTTCTTCCTCTGTTTTGTTATGACAAGAGATTTTTTTTAAATATCGTGAAGAATTTATATCCTGTTAATTTCCCATCTGTAACAAGAAGTCCCAGTTGTCCAAATCCTGCAGTGCCTTCTTTCAGTCTTCCATGAAATCAGTGAGACCAAGTCCCACAGTCTTCCTGGTTAATCACTGTGCAGTGCTGGGATCTTTTTCTCTAAGCTTCTGAATTGTTTTGAATTAGATTCTGGCAAAATCAGCCCCAGAACCTCCACTGACTTCAGTAAGACTGAAAGAACAGTGCATTATTCACTGTTTTTGAGAATCTACAATAAATATTTCAAATAAACAGCTATTTTAATATGAGTAAGGAATAAATAAAGATTTCACAAGCCTTCTGACTTAGCTGCATGATGAGGCTGACTAAGCACAACAAGCCTGGGAAGTCACAGCTCTGGTCAAAACAGATATTTCATGTTTCATCTAACTGAAAGGCAGAAAAAGTTTTGCTTCATCTTCTTTTTTCCTTTTTTTTAGTAGAGGGATGGTTTTGTATGCTGTTTGGAGGAGAAACCCCTTCCAAAAGCAGAAGGGCTGGATAAATTGAAGCGCATCTGTTATGTCGCATTGTTTTAAGAATGCATGTGAAGAGTTGTTTGGAATTGTTTTTATCATGGAGGGCGATGAATTGTTTCTGGAGGGTCTGACAGTGTCCTGGTGTTTGCCTTCTGTTCAGGCAGAACACCTGACGAGCTGCTACTGGGGAGGGACCAGCAATGCCACGGAGCGGCACGACCCCAGCCTGCCCTACCTGGAGCAGTACCGCATCGACTTTGAGCAGTTCAAGGGCATGTTTGCCCTCCTCTTCCCCTGGGCCTGCGGCACCCACTCGGACACGCTGGCTGCCCGCCTCTTCAGGCTGCTGGATGAGAACGGAGATCTGCTCATCAACTTCCGGGAATTCGTCTCTGGCCTGAGTAAGGAGGATCCACGGCACTCTCAAACTAACGTGATAACCAGTTTGTTTCTGTTCAGCTCGTTTTATCGTGCCTGTGGCAGTGGTTCCCTCAGACCTTAGCAGGTGAATCTGCATTAGGCAGTGGTGTATCACACTGGGAAAAGGACAGTACATGAACAGATCCATTAGGATCTGAGGATTTCACTGGCTGCTAACTCTCAACACAAAATCTAACTGCAACACAGGTGCTTAACGGTGTGTTTCCCTAGGCATTAGTTAGAGTGTGAGGTACTACTTCTTGCTTCTGAAATCAGTAACCAAAACTGCAGAGAGCAGTTTGGAAGTCCCCTGAAAAGGAGAAAATGGAGGTGCAGGTCAGAGAGGGAGGCTGAATGTTTTAGTCCTGAAGAAGCAAGATTTCAGGACATGAAAAAGGACATTGTGAGCCCCAGGATTAGCGTGAGGAAGCAAAGATGAGGCAGGAACCAGCCTCTCCTTTTTTAAATATGGCAGGAGTTGTTTGCTGTAAGTGACCAACATCTCACCATCTACCATGTGTCATTTCGTGGCAATGTGGAATTTCTGCCAGCTCTGTATTTTGATTCTTTTTGAGAGTGAAAAGGTTTCCTTGTCTGGCTTTCAACAGCTCTTTGTTAATTAACAGTATGTTTAAGCATTGGGGCTCCACATGCAGACTTGCATTAAACCTCTGTACAGAAGTAGAAGCACTTGTTCTCTTGTAAGTGCAAAGTAGCTCTGACAGTAAAACTGGCTGCACACCTCCCTTTCACACCACCCCAAAAATCCCAGTGTTTCTTGTGGTGCAGTGATTTGTATTTGAGGTACTGTTCCGTGTAACACACTGGGGCCTTTTGGGGACCCAGAAGTTAACCACTCTTCCAGTTTCCAGATGTTGTCAGTAACAGTCAGCCAGCTATTGATTGAGACAGCAAATTTTGGAGCCAGTAATGAGTAACATGAACAAGGGCCAGTATTGAGCACTGTGAGCAGAAAGGTATGTAAAGTGCACAGATGTGGCAATAAGCTAACATGACTGAACTAAAAACTTCAGTGGGCAAAACAATTATAAATGCTCATTCTGAAATCTGGTATTTTTCAGAAACTAAGCCCACTGTGGTGTAATTTGAAAACCTTCTTTCTTTATTCCCCTAAAAAGTAAATCAACCCTGCTGACACCTTTTTCAGTTGAGAAGCGCATGAGTGGTAAGGACAACATAGTCAAGAACAATGGACCTGTTTGAGCATATTTCACCATGCCCCAGGACTTCTAATCATTCAATTTCTTTTTCATTGTCCCTACAACAAATAGCTCATGAACCTCCTACTTCAGGTGCCTCTAGGGCCTCAGCTGAGCAAAGATGGAATAACTTTGTGCATTCTTTATGTTTACTCCGTGCCCTGTTACAATAATATAGCCTAAATATAGGAGTGGTTTGCCCAGTGAGTTGTGCTGCTCAGAAGGGGTTTTCAGCCTTGGTGAGGAGCTGTTTAAGTTATTCACTCTTACAATGCTCCCCTGCACTCCTGTAACGCACTGGATGATAGCATGACAGCTGTTGCCTGCACATCCAAGTAAGCTGCAGAGATCTCTGCATGGATTCCAAGTGGCCTCCTGCCTCCCATCGTGTTTGGCAGTGCTCCCTTCTCAGAGCACACAGCTCCCCACTCCTCCAGTGGCTGCTGCTGACTGCAGTCCTTGGCACAGCCTCCTGTCAGAGTCAGCACCACGAAAGCTGTGTCTTACAAGGAGTACTTGAGTGTATTTTATTTTCTTTTTGCAAGCAGGGTTTTGTCGACCACAGAATGCAGGAGATTGAAAAAGCAGAGTGGTAACCTCACCACTTCTCCATGCCTTTCAGAGGCAGGATCACCTCCCTTGACCTGCTGGCAATACTCTTCCTAATTTTGAGCAGAACGGAAGGAAGGAAAAGTGTGCATCAGGAAGCACATACAGATTTTTCTCAAATTGTAGCTATGGAGATTTTCAGTTCTCTTCAAATCTGGGGACAGAGAGAGCAGCAAGCCTACATGTGTCACCCTGTGCCCTGAATCCTATTTTGCAGTTCCTGTTGATGGAGGATGCACAAGTGCAGCCCATTCTGTCCTTTGGTTATGTCATGTTGCCTTTACCAGAAGAGAATGCATTATCTGCATGGTGTGATACACCAGATAGAAACATAATGAGGTTTTGTGCTTAAAAAGGACCATGTTGACAGCAAAATGGCTAATGTGGTTGTGCTCAACTTTTTTTTGGCCTGATACCTGTGTTTATTGGAGTGCGAGGCTTTACCAGAGACTGTGACTGTTAGTACTTGCCACACCACACTGCAGTTTGCATAGCAGAGGTACATTGACAGTCACCTATAAGGTAAAATAAATCTCTGCACTATCTAATTAGTAGAAGTTAGTTCATTTATTTATGGATGGCATGTCACAAGTGAGATGTATGAAAGTCTGGTTATCTCTTATTTAGTTACTTGAAAATTAACTACTGTCCATTTAATTAATTGGAAGGAGGGGCTTCAGTAGACCTCTCAGATTTCATACAGTGTAGATGTGGAAAAATCACTAGAAAGCATTGCCTGAACATCAATTTAGCCCATGGCTAAGTATGATTTATGATGTTTTTTTGAATTTATCTCTTTTTTTAATTTTTTTTGGTAAATATCTTACTGCTCTGAGACATGTGATGTTGTTATTAGATCCTCAGACCAGAAAGTTTGAAGTCCACACAAAAAACGTCTTGTTAAGTTCCAGCTGGAGGCCTTTCTGAGTGATAATGCCATAACCATAGACAGTTTTATGAAGTAGGCATTTAAAAAAGGAGCCAAGATTGCAGTACGAAATTCAGGGTAGATTTGTCTGTGTTCTCTTACTGTTTTTACTGGGTGAAGTCGAGTGACTGCCTTATGATCTTGAGCTTTAAAGGGATACAGTACCTCCCAGCAGAGTGAATGTAGCAGCTGTTATTGTGGCAATAACAAATCAAATGGCACAGAATGCTGACTAGTAATGTACTGCATGTAATGTTGTGTAGGTGCAGCATGCCATGGAGACCTGACAGAGAAGCTGAAGCTACTGTATAAAATGCATGTTTTGCCTGGTAAGTAAATGATGTTAAAATAGCTCTTGTTTTGCTGAGAACAGGAATTTGGAGCGGAGTTGTTTATGACTGGCTTTCCCAATTAAAAATTAATTTGTGGGAATTACTGTATCTGTTTATGCAGCAGTAAAATAAGGAAGCTTCTACTCTAACCAGACAGATTTGGAAAGTCTGAAAGCCCCCTCATGGCACTGAATTGTTCCCTGCACAAACATATAAATGTCTCTTGCCTGTTAAGCTGGGGTTGGTGATATCCTCCAGGCATAAGTCCAGTGTTCTTCAGCATATGTTACCACAATGCACTCCATTTAAGCGTTGGAAAATTAAGCTAGTTTGAAATGTTCCTGCATGTCCTGGCTCCTCATTTCTGTCCCCAGGCTTTCTTCTTGATTTCCCCTTTGGGCTGGCACAAGTGTTGGCAGGGAGAAGCTCCAGATGGTTTCACAGATGTGTTTTCCAGGGAGCTGTACAAAGCTGGGCTCAGCTAAGTGGGAGAGGCAGTTCAGGGTGGAGAGGGGATGAAAACACCTCAGAGCAGTTCTGAAAATTCTCTGCTGGAGCTGTGTCCTCTCTGGCTTGTCACCCACATGCCATAAAGAATCCACTGCTGTCCTTACTGAACATTGCTGCTGCTTGGGTAGTTTAGTTCTTGTGCACATCTACATGCTGTGGTAAACATATCTAAAAACTTTAGAGGACATTCCCCTTTGTCTACTTTGAACATGGCTGATTGCTCCCAGCTGGTTTTGCTTGGAGGTAGGCCTGAGTGATTCAGTAATTTAAATGGGAAAAAATACTTTCAAATACTTCAAATACTTTCTAAAAATACTTTAAAAAGACATTGAACTATTACCAAAAATATCTGGTTTTAAGAATGCAGTTTCTCATATCTGGGGACTGGCAAGCTCATTCCAAATGATGAGAGGTTGTTTCAAGGTAGGAAAGAGGGCAAACCCTGCTTAGGACACTGAGCTGTACAGAAGAAAGTAATGGAAGTTGGCATGGGAGGATGGGTAAGCCAGCCTCTAGAAGCAAACAGCTCCTTGTGATACAGTATTGGATGTTGGGAAGGAGCCAATTGAGGTCCAGTTGTTCATCTCCTGTGAGTTAAAAAGAGATGATTCCTAGCACATCGCACCCTTGTACTTCTAGAAATCTACATTCTAAATGTATTAATGGAAATATCTTTCAGTTTTTAATTAAAGGGTGAAAATTTTAATGAAAGAATCTTACTGTGTTGCTTAGATCCATCCCCTGAGCAAGAAGAGCCAGACTCTGCTTTTGAAGCTACTCAGTACTTTTTTGAGGACATCACACCAGACTGTACACATGGTAGGCATCTTCTGTCTTGGGCATGGGAAGATGAGGTGATGCATTTCACTCAACATATCTTTTTAGAGAGCTACTTTTTAATTGGATTAAACTTTGTTAGCAAAGTATTCTCTGTAAAAAGTATTATTATGTATATGTGTTGATATCTTGAGAGGTGCAGGCATGTGTACACTCAGTCCCCCTGAATTGTGCATTGCAGAAGTACTTGTAGAATAACTCCATGTGTTGTAATAGAAGTAATTTTGTGAAGAACAAGAATAAATAGATTGGCTTTCAAGATGTATTTGGATCAGAACTTTAAACATTCTAAAACACCGAGAGCAAAAGATACATCAAAATGTAGTTCAGCAGTTCGAAATCTCATGTGCCCTTACGAGAGCCAGGGCCTCATCACTTCTGCTTTATTGACTTTCTCTTTCTTGTTATACTTGATGTGAAGTTTCTTTTTGATTCAAGAAAAATATAACCCATCCTTCAGGTTATAAGTGGGAGGAAAGTTGTTTGAAAATACAGGTAAGAGTTAATAGTCTGGAAATGGCAATTTCAGCTCCTGAGAGGCAAGAGGGTGCACTAGTACAATCACCAAATATGTATCATGCTAGGAGGTGTGTTGTGTTAGCATGGGTTAATCATTGTACTATGTGGACAAAACCTAAGGTTGTCCCAGCCTAAGTAGTGACAGTATAAATTAAATGGAATTTATGGGCAGGTTTAAGGGTAAACAAAGCCAGAATTTATACCTGCAATTTTTCTCTGCTTTTTTTGCAGCGTTCGTAAATATTTGTAAACATTTTGTTATTTTGCACTGTGCATGTGAAAACAATGTCTGTATCTAAACCCACACTGATCTCTCTCTCCCCCTGCCCCTCCACGTCCTAGTTGTTGGCCTAGACAGCAGGAGCAAACATGGAGTAGATGATGGGTTTGTTACAGTGAGTCTGAAAACAGACAAAGGTATGCTTGGTGTCTCCTTGTGAGTTACATCTTTCATTTCATGTAAAGATGCTCCTTTTGAAAATGGGGAATAAAGGGAATAATTTGAGGTTTCTTCATGGACTTTTTCCTCCCTCTCTGGGTAATTTGTTGGCAATAGGCAAGAAGAGCTCACAAGAGAATCGAAATTACCTGAGAATGTGGAGCCAAGAGAATAAATCCAAAGCAAAAAACACAAAGGACTTACCCAAGCTAAATCAGGTACTTCTGCTGCCACTTTTCATTAAATTTAAACTTTCTTCACATATCTATAAATATTCAGTGTATTAACACTGAACAGAGGTTTTATTTTGAGCAGATACTTTTTTACCAGAGTAGCAGTCAGCTGATTGCAGAAGTTTGTTGTTTACAAAATAGTTTTAACTGGCATTCAGCTCCCAAAACATCCCAAAAATGAGATATACACATGTAGGAAAGGTAAAACATATTGTTTTGATCTTTAGACAAAGGATGTGACGCTGAATATCACCAGCCAGCTCTTCATGTCTAATAAGCATAACCTGAAAGTAGTATTTTGTGTTTTGTAGTTTGTACTGCTAGTCTCAATCCCCTCAGATCCACAGCTGCTGGGGAGGAGGAAGAGACCCATTGGGATAGCTCTTTCCTCCAGAGAATGTAGGGAAGGTTTATTTCCTGTAGAACAGTGATTCTTACTTAAGGTAGCCCTGAGCAAATCTTCCCATCTCATTTATCAGTTTTGAATTTCAAATACTTGTATCCAACTAAGTTACTCCTGTCAGCTAAGTGCTGCAGGACTTGATTGTTCATTTCTTCTCATCAGTTTTAGCAAACCCTTAGTTATACTTAGCATCGTTCCTACAAGAGAATCCACCAAAATCAATGCAAAGTGTCTCACTGCTCACCCTCTGTTGCCCTCCTGTGGCTGCAGAGAAGTGTATTTGAGGTATGTTGGACAAAACATCCAGTCATTTATTCTAAATACCTTTTAGAGATGCTACATATGTGACTGCCCAGCCATAGAGTATGCTTCCTAGACTGCACCTGCATTATTTCAAATTTCACTTTAGTCACGTAAACCCTTGTGTCCTGCCTCAATCCCAGTGTTTTAAAACTGGTTTGGGAGATGTCAGTGTGATTTTTTCCTGCTCGTGTTAATGTTCCCCCCCACTGTGGTGTTTAGGGGCAGTTCATTGAGCTGTGCAAGACGATGTACAACATGTTCAGTGAGGACCCCAACGAGCAGGACCTGTACCACGCCACGGCTGCCGTGACCAGCCTGCTGCTGGAGATCGGGGAGGTGGGGAAGCTCTTCAGCACGCAGCCCCCCAGCGACATGGACAGCAGCAGCTGCAGCAAGGCTGCGCAGGGCGAGCTGTTCCCCAGGAAGGAGCAGCAGCAGTTCCCCCTGGAGCAGCACAAGGCGTTCCGCGGC